ATGCCTGGCTTTACGTAGTGATTTTTATTTATTTGTTTGTTTATTGGTGGTATGAGACAGGGTTTTTCTTTTTCTGGAGCTGGTTGCTTTGTAGACCAGCTTGGGCCTCAGACTCAAGAGATCCACCTGCCTCTGCTGCCTGAGTGCTGGGATTGAAGGTTGCACCACCATACCGGGCTACATAATGGATTTAAAAGAGAAAGAGATGCTGTGTGTACTGACAGAAAAAGCACAGATATGCTTGGTTCTGTGCCTTGATTTATGTAAATAACAAGCCATCTAGATTATATATTGGAACAGCCATATCTGATGGGAACGGCAGAAGTTCTAAAGCCAGCACAGCCGCTTGACAAAGATCCAGCAAAGTTTATCGGCATGATGTCCCGGGCCACCTCTGGTTTCATCTCCACCTGCTGCGCACTTGGGGGCCTTTTAATATTTGTACAGTTTAGGGATATTGGATTGATGGAAAATGTCTTATGAGGCATTTATGCCTTCTCCCAGGAGTACTGCTTCTAAGCCTCCCCAGGACAGTCCCGAACATACTGTACCCTCCGCTTTTAGGGAGATATCCTTATCTGTTTGAATGTCTTCCTTATGCCTTGGAGATTGTGGTACATAAAAATGCCAGAGGTCTCTTTATGAGGTGGTGTTTTCTTTTTCAATTGTTTCTGCCTTTTAGGATAGGCTATCCTAGTCAGCAACTGCAACTCAGTTGTACCGACCACACAGCCTAAGGAAATTGTGTTCCCTCTGGCACAGACTCTTTCAGTGCTACAGAAAGAACTGCTCTAACTCTGTGTCCCTAAAGAACTCAAGATTCAAAGGTTGAGGTACCATCCTGCTCTCCAGAGAGGCTGAGTAGAAAGCAGCTCACCTAGCTCACCTCCTTGCCTTTCCCAAGAAGTCCTCCTGGTTCTCCTCACCCCTGCTTAATTAAAAACCCTTCTCCACCTGGTTCCTCCCTCCCACTTCCTGTCAGCTAGTTGCTGACGCAGCCTCCTGACCACAGGTGAATTTTATTTAATCAAACATATCTGCATCATTAAACGTTCCAGAACATATTCAAAAGTAACACACCTTAAAATAGTATTCTACAACAATGAGGCTGTGAGATATTCTTGGAACATCTGTCTCTGTACTTACACGGGAACAAGATATTCAAAACAAAGTAAACTCCAAAAGGTCAACAGGATTTGGTGGGCTGGAGAAGCTGGCCACAGTTCAGATCGCTAGCCTCTTCCTGCTACACACCTAGGCAGTGGATTAGTCAGATTAGCCCAGGTTACCTCCGCTCTGCACAGAGACTTGTATTGCTGAGCAAGTATGGAGTGGGAAGACCATAAAAGATGCCAGGGCCTCCCTTAGGAAAGTCCACTCATGCAGAGCCACTGTGCTGTCCTGTGACCAAGGAACAACAGAGACAAATTCTATAAAGATATAAAATAGAAACTTTATCAGTGTGGTCATGATAACTGTTCTGTCATGGTTTATTAATGATGATTAAAAGATATGCAGGAGACAATGTCCAAAAACAAAAATGACATGATCTATGTTTTGGAAGAGCATGAATGTATCCCTGCTTACTAAAGTCTGGATAAATAAAGACGCATAAAGAAGAATAAAGATTCTCCTAACCATCGTGGCCTGGCTCACTCCATTCCTTGCCTACTCCTTATGTCCTCTGTTGGGACCTGCCTACCACCGGGGATGGCTCCCAGCAATATTATATGTGTGTGTGCATTTAAAATAAATAATTTATTCAAGTTCATTGCTGCCCTTAGGAATTATTTCTGTTTGCCCGTGTGTTAGGCATGCAACTGTAATATTGGTAGCTTAGGAAGAGCAAATAGTAGCTGGGGTCAGGTATGAGGGGAGAAAAGTTTGTCCCTTTCTGGTATTCTGTATTTTGAGTTTTTTTTTTTCTTTGTTCCGAGACAAAGTTTCTCGGTGGCTTTGGAGCCTGTCCTGGAACTAGCTCTTGTAGACGAGGCTGACCTTGAACTCACAGAGATCCTCCTGCCTCTCTCTCCCAAGAGCTGGGATTAAAGGCATGAGCCACCATCGCCCAGCTGAATTATTGTTAAAAATAATGATGGGGGCTGGAGAGATGGCTCAGAGGTTAAGAGCACTGACTTCTCTTCCAGAGGCCCTGAGTTCAATTCCCAGCAACCACAAGGTATCTGACAACCACCTGTAATGAGATCTGGTGCCCTCTTCTGGCCTTCAGCATAAATGCAGGCAAAACTTCATAATTAATAAATAAATCTTTAAAATAAAAATAATGATGGAAACAAGCCAGGCAATGGTGACGCACACCTTTAATCACAGCACTCGGGAGGCAGAGGCAGGTGGATCACTGAGTTCGAGGCCAGCCTGATCTACATAGTGAGACCCAGGACAGGCTCCAAAAGTTACACAGAAAAACCCTGTCTCGGAAAACAAAACAAAACAAAAAAAAAACAACCAACCAAACAAAGCCAAAGCAAAATAGGAAAACTATTAAATATTTTAACATTCTATTTTTTAAATCTATTTGTATTTTGTTTTCACTTGTGTTTTGCCTACAGGTGTGTCTGTGTGAGGGTATCAGGTCCCCTAAAACTGGAGTTACAGACAGGTGTGAGCTGCCATGTGGGTACTGGAAATTGAACCAGGATCCTTTGAGGAGCAGCCAGTGCTCTTAACTGCTGAGCCATTTCCCAGCCCCTCTTTTAGAGGTTGTTCTAGAACTTGCTAAGTAACTGAAGTTGACCTTGAATTTCTAATAGTCTTGTTTCAGCCTTCCAGAGGCTGAGATTACAGGTGTGTGCCTCCAAGTCTGGCTGCTTTTGTTTTTTTCTTCCTTTCTTTTTTGTTTTGTTTTTCGAGACAGGGTTTCTCAGTAACTTTGAAGCCTGTCCTGGAACTAGTTCTTATGTACCAGACTGCCCTGAAACTCACAGAAATCCACTCTGTTCTGTTTTACAGACTGGGTCTCCTTTGCTGCTCGTGCTGGCTTTATTGGGTTCAAACTATCTTCCTTTTCCAGCTTCCTGAGTAGCTGGCTCTACAGACATGTACCACTGTGTCTGACCCAAAGTGGGCCCCCCCCCTTTTTTTTTTGTTTTTTTTTTTTTCGAGACAGGGTTTCTCCGTAGGTTTTTTTGGTTCCTGTCCTGGACCTAGCTCTTTTAGACCAGGCTGGCCTCGAACTCACAGAGATCCGCCTGCCTCTGCCTCCCGAGTGCTGGGATTAAAGGTGTGTGCCACCACCGCCTGGCTTGGTTCCCCCCTTTCTTATAAGGAAAACATTTAATTGGGACTGGCTTACAGGTTCAGAGGTGTAATTCATTATCATAATGGCGGGAAGCAAGGCAGTAGATAGGTAGACATGGTTCTGGAGAAGGGGAGAGTTTTATGTCTGGATCGGCAGGCAACAGGAAGAGCGAGCCCAAACTTTTTAATTAAATCTATGTTCTGGAAACAGCGCTAGTCTTGGAATAAAGTTTCAGAAAAATTTATGATAGTTTATGGAAGTTCCATGAGTCTAGCCAGGTGTGGCGTGCACAGCTGTAATCTTGGTCTTGGACTCAGGTGGCAGAGGCAGGAGTCGAGCCAGGTGTGGTGTGCACAGCAGTAATCTTGGCACTCAGGAGACAGAGGCAGGAGGACTGCAGCAAATATGGGCTGGAGAGGCGGTTCAGCAGTTAAGCGTTTACTGTTTTAGAGAACCCAGGTTCAGTTCCCAGCACCCACACCATTTGGCTCACAGCTGCTTGTAAGTCAAGTTCCAAAGGATCTGACAGCTTCTAGCCATTGCAGGTCCCTGCATGTACATGGTGCACATAAACTCACTTAGGAGCACACATACAGATAAAGAAAAACAATACATATTTAAAGGGGGGTGTCTGGGTGGTTGTGGCTCAGTGGTAGAGTGCTTGAGACACTCATTGTAATACCCACTACTGCCAAAAAGTACCCCAACTAACCAACAAAGAAAAGCACACTAAATAACTGAAGCCATTAGCACTCGTCCCATGGTTGCTTCTTTTTCCAAGGGCAGTTGAAAGCCGTTGCTGAATACGGTTTTTCTCCTTCTTTATTTGACTCATGTATAGTACTGGTCAATAGAGAGATTGGTTTTTATTTTTAACTTTCTAAAAGGAGGCTTTATGCAAAGTATGTTGTTTACCTTTGGTTTGGTTGGTTGGAGTCCTGATGTCTCAGCAGTTTGTCAGAATGCCGCACTGGGAAATGAGATCCTTGCGCTGAGCCACGGTCCCGCATGGAAACAGGATTCCGCCCTTGTCCTGGTTGCATAGCTCTGACCAGATGGTATCTTAGACTCCTAGATATAGTGGCCAGAGCAAGCCTGGCCGCCGGTATTTAACAGAGTCCTGAAGGCTTGTCTGTCACTGTTTACCGTGAAGACCTTATGTATTTAATAGAAGCTTAATAACTGCAGGTTTCTCTTTTCCTTGAAACTGGAAGCGTTAAAGAATGGTCAGATTTCTTGGCTCAAAATCACTAGAACAGTTTGTCAGACAGGGTCACTGGAAACATTTATTGTCCTTGCTCTTCAGGGTTTGAGGCACTTTCCTTCGGTACTGTGGACGGGTGCAAGCATGGTCGGTCATAGGTGAGCTGCGTCTTCAGCGTGAGAGTTCAGATTTTGAAGTTGCAAGAACCGCCAAGAGGACACTTGCATACTTTTATTTTTTGGATTTAGGTCTCTCATTGTAGCCCTAGCTGTCCTGGAATGCCCTATGTAGACCGGGCTAGCCTCGATCTCACAGACCTGGTTGCCTCTGCCTCCGGAGGGTCCTGCCTAAAGCCGCTTACCCTAGCCAGCTCCTCGCAGAGTGAACCCCGCCCCTCAATGCGATAGCCCCGCCCCCGCTCCCGAAGCCCCGCCCCTACAGCCTCGCCTTTCGCCTCGTGAGCCTCGGCTGCCCCGCCCCTCACTCCGTGCGCGCCTGTGCCGCCGCTCGCGTCCCCGCCCCTCGCCGCGCGCTTTCGCCACGGGGAGCCGGGAGGGCGGCGTGCGACCTCGGCACTTCTCAGCGGGAGGCTGCGGCGCCGCGCGCGCGGGTGGGTGGGAACGTGGCGGACCTACGGGCGCCGCGGCGGGGGCGACAAAGCGCCATGGCGCCTGCTGTAGCTACGGTAGCCGGTGCCCGTGCCGCGGCGAGGTGAGGGGCGCCTCTGCTCCCCAGCCGAGGAGGCCGCGGTATGGCCGGGATCATTAAGAAGCAGATCTTGAAGCACCTGTCCCGGTGAGAGCGCCACTCTACGTACCCGGGCCCTTCCCGAACCCTCCCGATCCCTCAGGCCGCGCTCGGCCGGGCGGCCCCGGTTCCACTCTCGCCGGTCGTTGTCAGCTCTGCGTTCCTCCTTCGCCCTGGCACGGTCCTCTCCTTTCCCCTCCCCCCGCCGCCTCCCTCCGCGCGGGTCACCCGGCTCTTTTCCTGGCCCAGACCCGCACGGAGCCCAGGCAGGCCAGCCGGTTCCTCCTGAGCACCGCTGCCCGCCCCCCGAGGCCTCTTCCCGCCTCCGGAGCCGCCCAGCCTCCGCTTCTTCATTGCTCGCTTTGCCCGATGCTGCAGTACCCAGGTCCTCTTAGATTTGCAGCGCAGGCGACGGCTTTCTTCTGTCTGACCCTGTTGCATCACCCTTGAAAACATGTAAGCCCTTCACCCGAGGCTCGTCCTCCTTTCGGACCTCCCTCCTTTCTCCAGTCCGATTTCTTCTCATTACACAGACTAATTGGAGAAAGGTCAGAGTTGGGGGATAAAGTTTCAGCAACCTTCCCTTTAAGATGCCACGGAAGTTTTTGTGACAGCCAGTGTCCGCTTGTGCTTTGTAGCCTTCTGCTAAGTCGTTCTGTGGCTCGGTGTTTGGGGCATGAGAGATTGGCTGGCAGGACAACTTTGAGCTGTACCTGAAGGACTCCTGGTCTCTACGTGATGGCGCAACTTGTTAGAACTGGTGACTGCAAAACATTGGGAGCTAGCTTTGCGATTCGTTTCTTAACTTTTTCTAGCCTGGGGTTGGTGATGGTTGTTAATTTAGGTGGTCTCAGTTCCTCTAGTGATCCAGTTTGTCTGCACGGTGGCTAGTGGTTTTAAAGAGGGGTGTGTGTGTGTGTCCAGTTCAACATGGAACACCAGGGATTGTGCTGATGTATCCTTTCAGGCCTTTTCATTGTGTTTATTTGGCAAATGGTGTGTGAGTCTGTTCCTGACATGGTGTCCTCCTTTTCCTGGCTGACATGCATATATGAGCTCAAGCTTTATCAGCTAGATCCAGATGTTCTGGTTAGCCCCCTCACACAGGCCTGGGCTCCAGGGCTCCTCGAGCCGGGGCACTTCCTCATTGACTTTCATGTTCTTTAAACTGAGGATAGTACTGGTATATACCGCAAAGATTATTGTAGGCTGCCGTGGCGGCACTTGCCCAGCAGTCCTGGTGATTTGGAGGTGAGGCAGGAGTGGGGATTTGAGGCCAGCCTGGAGATCATAGAGTTCCAAGCTGACTTGGACTACATGTCAGAAGACTACGTGAGCTATTACATGTAAAGACGTACATCAGAGCTTCAGACACAGGGAGTGCTCAATAGGACATGGGTATTTTTATTGTTTGCAGTCATAACGTGTGTGACAACTTAGTACCATCTGTAGACCTGTCTAGACAAATTCATATATACTGACAGTTTCAAAAATACTTTGTCATTATGGAGTGTGTGTGTGTGGTGGGCGTTTGGGCAGGTGCGGGAGTGCCACAGTGTGCATGTGGAAATTGCCATACAACTTTGAGTCGTCACTTCTCTCAATCCACTTTTTTTTTTTTTTTTTTTTTTTCTCGAGACAGGATTTCTCTGTGGCTTTGGAGCCTGTCCTGGAACTAGCTCTGTAGACCAGGCTGGTCTCGAACTCACAGAGATCCACTTGCCTCTGCCTCCTGAGTGCTGGGATTAAAGGCGTGCGCCACCATCGCCCGGCCTCTCAAACTACTTTTACACAGGTTCTGTGAATCAGACTCAGGTCAACAGGTTTATATGGCAAACGCTTTTACCTGCTGAGCCACCTTGCTGGTCTTTTGTTTCTCTCTTGCTGCCTCTGTCTCTCTCTTGAGATAGTGCCTCACTTTGCAGACCTAGGGAGCCTGAAGTGGGTTTCCTGTCTTAACCTTACAAGTGCTGGAATAATTGACATTTGCCATCAGGCCTGACTTGAGCTAATTTGTTATTGAAGTTTTGTGGGAGTTGAGAATCCTAATGCACTTACCTGAGTCTCTCAGAGCATCCTGGAATAAGTGAATAATTCTTGATGTAGTCCAGCCCCTCTGCTCTTTCCTCCCCTCCCCCTCCTTTCCTTTCCTCTCCTCCCTCTCTTCTGCTCCCACTCCTCCTCCCCTTTGCTTTCTTTTCCTTAGATCTCTTTTGAGACAGGGTCTTAGTATGTGTAGTCTTGGCTGTTCTGGGACTTCATATGTACACCAGGCTGGCCTCAAACTCATAGAGATCTTCCTGCCTCTGCTTCCCAAGTGCTGGGATTAAAGGTGTGTGCCATCATGCCTGACTTCAACCCTTCACTTTTGACTGAGGAAGCAGGAAGCCCAGCAAGGATGAGTGACATGTCCAGAGGATAAGGGAGTGTGGATGAACCAGCTTCCTAATGCTGGGGCCCTTTCCCCTTTACACACACATGTTCTGTGTGCGTCCCCTATCGTGTGCACACACGTTCTGTGTGCTTCCTCTATCGTGTGCACACGTTCTGTGCACTTTCTGTGAACATAATATTTTAATGATACGTGCTGAAGCCTTTGATTTTTTTTTTTTTCCTTTGAGGCGTCATGTCTAACTTTGTGTATTCCCTGACACGTTTGGTGAGTCCTGGGAGAAGAAAGCTTTTTCTGCTTTAGATAAAGTAGGAATAGTATGCCTGACATGGAGGGCCATTTCTGATTTCCTGGGCGTGGGGTTGGGAGGAGGAAGAGGTTACTTAAAGCTGCACCGTCAGGTCCCCCCTTCAGAGGAGTAGGCTGTAGGTCTGGTTGGAAAGGCCAGAATCCCAGGGCCTTTGTTTATTTTGGACTCTAATCATGTGTGACGTTGATGTGTATGGTGTTCACCCTCACTGGCGAGGAAGGAGCTGTGGCTCTGTGGCTTGTGGCACCTGGTGGGGAAGGAAGGCTGGGGAGGTTTGCAGAGTTGTGTTAACCGTGACAGGTGTCTGGCAGTGCCATTTGACCTCAGGGACAGTATTTTAGAGCAGAGGACAGGCCAGTGATGAGAAAGTGCATCCTGGTATTTCTATTAATTTAACATGTTTATTTTATTTTATTTTTTTAAGATTTATTTATTTATTATGTATACAACATTCCTTCCATGTATGCTTCCCAGAAGAGGGCAGTAGATCTCATTATAGATGGCTGTGAGCCACCATGTGGTTGCTGGGAATTGAACTCAGGACCTCTGGAAGAGCAGTCAGTGAGTGCTCTTAACCTCTGAGCCATCTCTCCAGCCAACATGTTTATTTTAAATGTCTTCTTTGTATGATATTGATCTAGGTGCTGGGAAGGCAGTAGGGATTAAATGTCTCTTAGGAATTTCACCCCTGGTTTGGGAGACCATTGTCCAATATGCAGAAATTTAATACACCATTAAATGTTCATTGAAATGAACCCGTGGAAAGAACTCTACCTAGCAATAGGAAGTAATTATTTATTTAAAAAATTGTCAGAATTAGCTGGTGTGGTGGTACGGGTTTGTAATCCCCACCCTTGGGAGATTGAGGCAGGAAGGTCTTAAATTTGAGGCCAACCTGGACCGTTTACTAAGACCCTGTGAGTTTTTTTGTTTTGTTTTGTTTTTGTTTTTCGAGACAGGTTTTCTCTGTAGCTTTGGAGCTTGCCCTGGAACTAGCTCTTGTAAACCAGGCTGACCTTGAACTCACAGAAATCTGCCTGCCTCTGCCTCCTAGGTGCTGGGATTAAAGACGTGCACCACCACCACCCAGTGAGACCCTGTTTCATAAATAAATGCTAAAAGAGATTTTTCACTAAATTAGGTTATTAGTGTTTTTTGTTTGTTTCCTTTTTTCCCCTCTCTCCCTCTTGAGACCCCTGCCTGTCTATTTCAGCCTTTGAGTATTGGTATTATTGGTATAATGCCACCGCGTCTGGCATTTCTTCTTGCTAATGACCGTGCACTGTACAAGAAGGTATGCGATAGGCTGTGAAGTCAGTTGGGACTCTGGATGGAGAGAACATCACAGATTCACCTTCAGCTCTGCCGCTGTCGACCAGGACTGCCTTCCCAGCTGTGCTGTCGTGGGTGTAAGTGAACAGGGAAGAGTAGTGGAGGCTGGCAGAGGGCTCTGAGGACTGGGGACACGGCGTTTGTCACGGCGCCTGACATAGAAACTGTGTTAAGTAAAGAGGAGTTGGGGACAGGTTCAAAGCACTAATGGCAGAATGCTCGCTGCCTCTGTCAGAATCCCATTGGCAGTTTAGTTCTTTACTCTTAAGTGACTGTAGAAAATGTCAGCCTAGAGTTTTTATAAACATAGGTGCTGGAACTCAGGGATGTGTGAAGTTTCATAACTCGTTTTGGAGAACAAGAGAACTTGAGTGAGTTGAGCTGTTGCTGGCCTGATGGGGCTTCCTAGTGCCCCAGGGTATGCAAGCACTGGAAGGATCTTGGAGATCCTTCTGTTACACGCTGCACGGGCCTCAGCTCTCACAGGTGACTGTCAGGGCCTCTGGGTGGAAGTCTGTAGGACTAGTCTTAATTTGTAGGTTAAATTCCTTCCTTTGTGCTACATTAGGTTTTTGTTTGTTGGTTTTTTTTGGTTTCTCTGTGTAACAGCCTTGGACCACGCTGGACCTCAACTCACAGAGATCGGCCTGCCTCTGCCTCCCGAGTTCTGGGACTAAAGTCAAGCCCCACTGCTGCCAGTGAGACTAGTTTTTAACACCGTCACTTCTCTAGTAAATCTTCCGTCCATTTTCTAGTAAAACTCAAGCCCTGTTTCTGTTTCCTTTCTCATTTTCTGATGTGGATTTAGAGTAAACCTCTTGTATTTACTCAGCAGACAGTGGTGGCCGTCTGTACTAACAAGCATCTGCAGTCTTGTATTGCTGGAGGCGGAAGCTTGCTGTGTGAGTGAAGAATTTCAGCCGAAGGGTTAAGTAACTAGTCCAGAACCACAGCTAGTGAGTGATAGAAGGAGGCTCCCTCTGAGCTGCCCTTTGACCTCCGCTGCCGCAGTGC